CTGCTTCTGTTTTGCATTGTGTTTATTCTTGCTGTGTTATCTCTTCTTACCTCATGCTCCTAATTTATTACCTTCAGTCCCCTCTAATCCCTGCCCTTTCCAGTCATTTTCTTCAGCAGCAGAAATACCACTCTTCTTGCTTGTATTCAGGAGTTTCTAAGAGGCTGGGAAAGCTGATACGGGTTGTTGTAAGGAGTCACAGTAATATAAAATGTCTGTAAGTGACTTACTCTTTGTTGGAGGAGATTACTGAAGTGTTAGTTCAGTGTGGCATCTGCACGTGAACAAAAGCTTGAAATTTGCCTGCCTTCCCTTTCCCCAGTGCTTGCACATCAGCTTCTCTGGAGCCTTCCTATGTTTTGCGGGCAATTGGAACAGACGAAGACTTGGCTCACTCATCTATAAGGTGCGTGAAGTGGTCTTCCCTAATGCTTCCAATTTTTTTTCTTTTCTGCTGAAAGTAGGTGGTGGTGGATTTGTTCCACCCCTCCATATTCTAGTCCTTAATGGTTTTCCTTTGGTCTAGATTTGGCATTGGTCGTTTCACTACAGAAGAAGAAGTGGATTATACAGTGCAGAAGTGCATACAGCATGTTAAGAGGCTGAGGGAAATGAGGTGAGCCATCCTATTTTTGAACATAAAGACTTCTTGGGTACGATAATTATTTGAAGAGTTGGATTTAGCTGAAAGTAATTGTTTGCTTCAAAAATCTGGTGGTGTCTCTGTGTATAAGCAATCAGTGCTGCCAGAGTGGGTAATGGACCTGACCTTAACAGTAGTGAAAACTTTTAAGGAAATAAACCTCATAACCTTCTCCCAGATCCTGCCTTTGTCAGGGAAAGAATGTGAGCAGGGCAAGCACATAAGGCAGTACCTGGAAGTTTCTAAGGGTATTACTGTGTTTATGTATCGATAAGTTGTTTTATTTTGATGAAACTGAAAGAATCCTGACTCCTCTGGACATTGTCAAATGCGAGGGCACAGTCCCTAAGAGGTATGAGTACTTTATGCCCAAAGTGGGTGAAGGAAGTGAGGTGAGGTGGAGCACCTGCCCTCTCACCTTTTGTATTTTGGGCTGAGGACACAGTTGAGGACTGATTGTCTGAAGCTCACTAACCTGCAGAAGGGGAAGATAGGTACATAGGTGTCTCCTAGTTTCTTGTGTAGTTGATGAAATTGTCTGTTTGGTTATTGTTGATGTCATCCTATGCACTTTAGATAGCCCTTATTTGTCTCCTTTCTTTACAGCCCCCTCTGGGAAATGGTGCAGGATGGAATTGACCTCAAAAGCATTAAATGGACTCAGCACTGAGAAAACATCGCTATTTGTGGACTAGATGTGGATGTGGATTTAAATGCATTTTCTGTACATTCCTGAACAAATTATGCAGCATTTCTGTTTTTGACACTTGCAATTTGACTGGAAAACTACCCTTTCTGACCACAAAGTCTAAGAAGCCAAAGATGAAACTAGTCTTTATCCTGGAGAAAGGCAGGATGATGTAATACCCATTGCAATTATATTGACTCACAGAAATTTACGCTAAAACATAATTTATTTGGAAATGTATTTTCTAATAAGGAAGTGAAGTCAGTGTGTTACTCCTGGGCCAGTGGAATCCTGGTGAGAGGTTGTTGCTTCTCAGTGTAGAACATCCCGTGTAGCTGTTCTGTTTGCAGCACAGACCTATTCCCAGGGCCCCAGTTCTTTCTGTTTGAGGTGGGTGTCCTGCAACAGCAGCTGGTTTTGTGCTGCTTAAATGTGTTGTATTGTGAGAAATTCTTAGCTAGGAGGAAGCTTAGCATTTCTAGAGGAAAAGGATGCCTCAGTGTTGCTATGTGCCTTCACAGTTAAGTTGTATGTGCAGTTAAAGAACAATTTTTTTTTTTTCCTGAAACTGAGTATTTTTGGCTCTTTTTCCTTGGTTTTATCTTTTTTTTTTGGGGGGGGTGATGCTTGTACAGACTAATGTGCATTAATCCAAAACATCCTTCTGCATTATAGAGTTTATGATGTGATGATGATGCTCTTTGCTGTCCCCTCCACTGTTTTTTTTTCCATGCAATTTTTTTCTAAGTAAGGAGAGAAAACTTGAATGACTGGGGAGAGGGATAGGCAGAATACGTCAGCTTCAGTTGCAGTACTGGTTTAGTTGGAACGTGGTTGGGAGGAGCAGATCAAGTGCAGTGTCTTAATGCAGTCTGAATTTTTTGTTGGTTTTTCTTTTTCTCCCCTTGGGGAGTCCTTTGCTGTTACTCAGAGTTTGCCTATGGGCTGTTGGATTCTGTCACTTCAGGGAGCCTTGCCCAGTTGAGCCTGTATGTTTTGTCTGGAGATGAGAACATGCTGACCTTAACAGTAGTGAAAACTTTTAAGGAAATAAACCTCATAACCTTCTCCCAGATCCTGCCTTTGTCAGGGAAAGAATGTGAGCAGGGCAAGCACATAAGGCAGTACCTGGAAGTTTCTAAGGGTATTACTGTGTTTATGTATCGATAAGTTGTTTTATTTTGATGAAACTGAAAGAATCCTGACTCCTCTGGACATTGTCAAATGCGAGGGCACAGTCCCTAAGAGGTATGAGTACTTTATGCCCAAAGTGGGTGAAGGAAGTGAGGTGAGGTGGAGCACCTGCCCTCTCACCTTTTGTATTTTGGGCTGAGGACACAGTTGAGGACTGATTGTCTGAAGCTCACTAACCTGCAGAAGGGGAAGATAGGTACATAGGTGTCTCCTAGTTTCTTGTGTAGTTGATGAAATTGTCTGTTTGGTTATTGTTGATGTCATCCTATGCACTTTAGATAGCCCTTATTTGTCTCCTTTCTTTACAGCCCCCTCTGGGAAATGGTGCAGGATGGAATTGACCTCAAAAGCATTAAATGGACTCAGCACTGAGAAAACATCGCTATTTGTGGACTAGCTGTGGATGTGGCTTAAATGCATTTTCTGTACATTCCTGAACAAATTATGCAGCATTTCTGTTTTTGACACTTGCAATTTGACTGGAAAACTACCCTTTCTGACCACAAAGTCTAAGAAGCCAAAGATGAAACTAGTCTTTATCCTGGAGAAAGGCAGGATGATGTAATACCCATTGCAATTATATTGACTCACAGAAATTTACGCTAAAACATAATTTATTTGGAAATGTATTTTCTAATAAGGAAGTGAAGTCAGTGTGTTACTCCTGGGCCAGTGGAATCCTGGTGAGAGGTTGTTGCTTCTCAGTGTAGAACATCCCGTGTAGCTGTTCTGTTTGCAGCACAGACCTATTCCCAGGGCCCCAGTTCTTTCTGTTTGAGGTGGGTGTCCTGCAACAGCAGCTGGTTTTGTGCTGCTTAAATGTGTTGTATTGTGAGAAATTCTTAGCTAGGAGGAAGCTTAGCATTTCTAGAGGAAAAGGATGCCTCAGTGTTGCTATGTGCCTTCACAGTTAAGTTGTATGTGCAGTTAAAGAACAATTTTTTTTTTTTCCTGAAACTGAGTATTTTTGGCTCTTTTTCCTTGGTTTTATCTTTTTTTTTTGGGGGGGGTGATGCTTGTACAGACTAATGTGCATTAATCCAAAACATCCTTCTGCATTATAGAGTTTATGATGTGATGATGATGCTCTTTGCTGTCCCCTCCACTGTTTTTTTTTCCATGCAATTTTTTTCTAAGTAAGGAGAGAAAACTTGAATGACTGGGGAGAGGGATAGGCAGAATACGTCAGCTTCAGTTGCAGTACTGGTTTAGTTGGAACGTGGTTGGGAGGAGCAGATCAAGTGCAGTGTCTTAATGCAGTCTGAATTTTTTGTTGGTTTTTCTTTTTCTCCCCTTGGGGAGTCCTTTGCTGTTACTCAGAGTTTGCCTATGGGCTGTTGGATTCTGTCACTTCAGGGAGCCTTGCCCAGTTGAGCCTGTATGTTTTGTCTGGAGATGAGAACATGGGTGTCTGGAGTTTTCTTTGGGTGACAGACTGTTCTTCTGTCTGACTGGAGACTTTCACGGGAATCCCTCGTTCCCTGCAGATGCTGGGACAAAGTGTCTTTTCAAAAGGGTTTGAGACCAATTCATATCAGTGTTTCTCCTTCCTTACCTTTGGTGATCTTTTCAGGAGGAAACTTAACCCCTTATTACGAAGTGCCTCTGTATCAGTTGCAAAAGCAGACAACTCTCAAATTAGTTTGTTGATTGATGGATGCTGTATTAGCTGCTGAATTTAATACACCCTATAGACAGCATGTCTTCAGTTCTGGGCGGTATCTACTTCGAGGATGAAGAATGTAAAAGCTGAAACTAAGTCTCACAAGGTGGATTGTGTTGCAGAAGCTTGTTCTGTTTTTTTTGATACTAAGGACAGATTTGGTTGTTGGTAATGCAAAGCTAATCCTCACTTGTTCTATTTGAAATTACTAGCTTTAGCAGTTTTAATATTGTAGGGCTAGCACCTTATATTTCATCACAACATTTTTAAAACTACCATAGGCATAAATAGGTTTTAGAGGTGTTCTGTGTGCTATGTTTTATCCTTGGGCCATACATGTTTTCTGGATTAAGCATGTGATAACGCTTTCCCAGCATGTTTTGAACTATTATGTTTATGAAATTGTTCTTTGTGGTTCATGGATGATATAAAAATATAGATAAAACTTAAACTTGGCTACTTTCAGTCTTTTTGGAGCCACCTTCTTGGCTGAACTATGCAGCACAATCAGTAAGTTGCTAAATTGCAGGCTTTCACTGGAGAACAGAGAAGGATAGACTAAGTTTTCTGTGAACGCTGTTAGAAGCTCTTTTTGTCATCAAGTAGGCATTTGACTTGGTGAGTCATTCTTCTCAGTGCCTGATCTGAGCTAATTGTTTTAAAACTAATAGTTTAAATTGTGATGATTTTGAGAAGAGAGCGACCTAAATCTTGAAGATTCTGAGCACCTCTTATCTACTAAGATTTAAAATATAAATTCTACATGTAAAAACTCATTCACACTGTTAACAAATGTTTGTTTGAAAATGCTTATAGGACAAGATGAGGAAAAATTTATAGAGGAGATACTTTTCCCCATGACAGAAAGAAGTAATGCCAAGGATGAATGTCTGGTTGTACGCCACTGAATGCAGTTAATGCTTTTTGTATGGGGAAGTAAGTTTCTTTGGGAGGAGAATATGTACAAGTGGAGCTGCCTGTAACTCAGAAGTGAGGGGGCTGTGGGGTTCTGTGGTTTGTTTTTTTTTTTTGGTGATTAATTGGAGCCATCTGCAGGGCATTAAATTGATGATACAAGGGGAAGATACCGGAGAGGTGAGGATTTAGTGTCACCATTTTGCAAATGTCATAAAAATTGAACCAGTGTGACAACTAGGAATAAAATAAACTTCCAGTAGTGCAAGATGGTTAAGTAATACATAAGGCGAGCAAAAAATTCTACTTGATGGATTTTAGTGTTTATAAACACTGATAGAGCATATCACCTAACTACAAAAATGATCAAATATTTCTTCAGGAAGGATAATACAGAATTAGACAGTTACCTGTTCTGGACTTGAGGGGACTGAGAGGAGGGTCAGTTAAGAGATTTGTTGACAATGTTATACAGCCAGCCATAAACTTACTGGGGATTTTTTTTAAATTACAAATTAACATAAACACTATTGCTCCCAACAAAATACCACCTCTTGTCTTCAATCTTGTATCTACCTGATTGATCGGCTTGCTGTTCTCTCTCTGTCTGGAGTGACTTCAGTCATGGTCCAGCTGTTTTCAGTCATTGTTTCTACTAACATGTATGCCCTGTGTTTGAAACAATACAGTTTGCCAAAGCTGAGTCCTAAAAAGTTGGCCTAGGAGATATATTCTCCAGTAAAGGTGGTTTTCATTAAATTTTGGGGTGGTGAATAAGTTCCTGCACTGGAAGAATGTGAATGCCAGTTTTTAAAATGGACAAGCTGAGTGCTTGGGAGAACTGAGCACTCTGACAGCTGATGTTCCTCCTATCTATCAGAAACAGAGTAATAAAAAAAAGGCTGGTACAAGGTGCTCTTATAAGAAGAAAACCTCATACTAATGAGCCATCAAAGTGGTTTTGTGCTGAGTAGGCGTAGTAAAACAAACAAGGTGTTTAATTTAGTTTTAAAAAGTAACTACAGGATCAATAAGGCACATCATATCTGACTGACAGATTTTAAGTATAGATAGGAATGAGGAGAGTATTTCTGTGAGGATTATTTCTGTTGAATGTTTTTCTAAATGATCTGGAAACAATTCAGATTTGCAGTTAACACGTAGTAATCAGAAAGGAAAATACGAAGTAGTATTTACTAAACTGGGTTCATTCATCCACACCACATCCTTGTACAGATGAAGGAATAGGATCAGAGGTGGTGTGTACAGAATGGTCTCTCTAGGGTGCTGGAGAAGTAAGGAGCCTGGGATTTGGGGTAATGTTTCCAGATTAATGGTGTAGCAAAAATATAATGCAAGGAAGAAGATATTTTTATTTCAGATGTGGAATGCTGGTTCCCTCAAGCTTTACTTTAAAATGTCCTGTGTACATTTTTTTTCCCCTGGTTGCGTACCGAATACCCTACTTCTGTTTTGGTTTAGGTGGAGGAAACAGATAAATTAGCGTGCTCTCAGTAGTTTCCTAGTACCTAATAAAGGCAAATCCCATGCTTTTCTAACACTGTTTTTCTTTTGCCTGCCTTCTGCCACGTGCATGTTACGGGGGAGCATACTGCACGTTAATCTTGAGTGATCTAAATATTCTCTCTCTATGAAAATTTGAATATGGCTGAGAAGACAGTTGGAGACCTGTGGAGGTAATCTGTGTGACAGGCATCTCTTCCAGACTTCGCTCCAGCTGAGCTGCAGCACACACCAGAACGCTTGAGGTGCAAGGACATGTGCTGGTCTGCAGCAGCTGTCCAAGGCATCAGGACTTGCTCTCCAGTGTGCCTCCGTGTCAGTACAGACACAGTCTAGAGGCCTGCTCAGGATTATGTAGTTTGGTCCTGTTTTTCTGCTGGTCCACACAGTAAACATCACAAGTCTCTCCACCAGGCATTACTTCAGCAACCAAAAGCAACGTGGTGACTCATCACGTTGCACAAAAGCTGAAAAGTCTTGGTTTTCTTCTGACCTGGGATACTCTAGCATTGCCCTTTCGTTATCCTACACCTTCTCCACACTGCAGGGTGGCCGGTGCAGCCCGGGAAGTGCTGCAGCGAGGCCCTGAGCTTCAGGGGCTCCTGCTGCCCCGGCATCCCTTGGGCGAGTAGCTCTCCAGGGGGGCTGGTGGGCTGGGCTGTGGTCACCTCTGGTGACTCCAAGGGCCTGCTTCTCTCGGCTGTGTTGAGGGGCGCATGCTGACAGCTAACCCTGCCTAGTGTCACTAACGCTATAAAAAGACAAATTACTGGATACTACTACCTACAGTAATCAAGGAGTGATGTGTAAGCACATGGAATGCCTAGCCAGACAAAAAGGAGGTGTTAGCTTGACAGAACTGATAAATTTTCAGTGCAGCCGTTATCATAAATACTAAATAGAGTACAAAATCTGTAAACCCAGGGCTAACAGGGAGAAGACAAACAAGTGTGGGCTGTTTATTGGGAAGGATGAGGGTGGTAAAGGAGAAGAATTTGGGAGTAGAAAGAGGGGATAAACAAATCGTGGAGTGGGGGTTATTGCAGCGCTGAGCAGCCCTGGGCCTGACCCTATCACCACAGGACAACGCACCCATCACACCCTTTGGCCCTGTTTTCTGTTGAGCGGTGAAAAATAACCAAGTTAACTGAATTGTTGAACTCCCCAATTTGCTAGAAAAGTGGTTGCAACGTGAGGTGATGGTTTATTTTCATTTGTTTCTTGCATCAAGCTGTGCAGGCTTTTTTTCATTGAAAATGGATGCTGCTGCAGTACCTGCGTCCACTGAAGCGCAGTGACAGAGCATCTCCAGAGAGGCCTCCAGCTGTTCCTCAGCTTGGGACACAGTCCGGTTATTTGTATTGCGTGTGTCTTTGGTCAAGCAAAGGACAAATATAGGTTAGGGCCGTTACACTCGAAAGGGCATCGACCCTGGGTGATCTGACTTTAATTTTAATTCTGCAACCTGGTCCTAAGCTAAGAAGTCAGTAACAAATGCTCTCCTCAGGGTTCTTTTGCTCGCTGGAAGTTCTATGCTTCCTTCCGAGTCCCCGTTTCCTCAGCAATAACCCTCAGCTATACCATCATTCATTTCCTGAAAACGTGTTGTACCAGAAGCAGCCATGCAAGTCTCGCACCCAGAGCGCCCCCGGCTCTATCGTTCGCTCCGCCGCGGCCCCTGCCCTCAGGGGAGCACGCGCCCTCTGCGCGGGGCGGGCGTCAGGAGGGGCTGCGCGCGCCTGTGGGCCCCGCCCTCTTCGGCCCGCCTGGTGAGGACCCCGCCCCCTCCCTGGCGGCGCCGCATCGGGGCGGCC